GGGGGGGTGGGGGACATTTTTCTAGAAAATATTGTATATTCAACTCTACTGTTATTTATAGAAGAGTCTAAAACTTATTTCTCTGATGGTGTAGAGGAAAGTGAAGATGAAATGCAGTGGAAAGGGAAACTTAAGAAACCAAGGTAAAGATGGAGTCATGATAATTCAGGTCGCTCTGAGTTCATGTTTCAGAGCCGACTAAAAGTTCCTTTGTTATTTTCACATTATGTGCCCCTTAACATGGAAAAAATATCTGCAATCCATCAACTCTCATTTAAAAAAGGAATGAACATTGAACATCTGCATTCAATTTTGTCACACATGAATCCTTTAACCGATTTGCCTCACATTTTAATTGGAAACTATTAACCTCAGGAATGGTATTGTTAATAGCAATGTATAAGCAAATAAAAAAAGTTAGTTGGTCGATTAAGTGGAAAAATCTTTTAATACTTGCGTTTCTTTAAAATTCGTGTATCCCCCACAGGATCCATAGCAAACGCCACTGGAGTTCAATCGGTCCGTTTGACCTGGCGACGTACCAGGGAGTCAATTTTTTTATAGGGTCCTTTACAAATTCCATTTCATTAGGCTTTCAGGGGGCTTCGTTCACATCTTCGATTTAATTTTTACTTGTTGCTTTGCTCTATCTGCGGCAATTTAGCTTTTTAAAATATGAAACATTAATAACAAAAATTTCGTGGATTTGTCATGGGTGGGTTTTGAGGAATATAAATTTGTTAAGGCAATTTTTTTAAATTCATAAACTTTCCCTGTGATTATGCGAGGTCCCCCAAAAAAATTTGGTTCATGCGTTTTTACGTTTATTTGATACAAACAGATAAACAAACAGACAAGCAAAGTATATCCATCTACTATCTAGAATGGGAATGGTTGCAGATATGGAGGAGAAGAAGAATAAACTAGATGTTAAATCAAGGCTGAAGACAGGTCAGAAAACTCTAGGCATAATATTATCAAATAGGAGTAGATCTTTTGAAGACCCCCCGCCCCTCCCCCGGGGTTAAATGATATATGAATGGGGGATCATTAATCAATCATTTAGTGTATAAAATTACATTGGACTCCAAGGGTGTTCAAAGAAAAACTGTTAGAATAGATCTCAAAAATTAACTGTAATGAATATGATGGGTTTGGCTATTATTGATTTTGAAAGAGGGTTTAGGTGACCCATAATTATAAGGCAAGAAGCCCAAGGAAGTTACGTGCGCATGCCGCGTTGAATTACAAGACATAAAGAGAGCCTGTTCTAGCCGCGGCCAGGGGAGTATAATCTTACTTTCCCAACCCCAACCCCCCTTAAGGGGGGAAAGAATTAAGCCCAGGGAAGAAATCAAGGAAAAAGAGGGAAAAAAGGAAAAAGGGAGAAAAAAAGAAAACTGAAGAAAAAGAGAAAGGGAAAGAAAAGAGAAAAAGGGGAAGAAAAAGAAAAAGGGGAAGAAAAAGAGAAAAAAAAGGGAGGAAATAGAAGAAAAAATATATTATAAGATGATAAAACGGAATAATATCGATCGCCGCTATATTATCTCTGATTCTGTGGAAGAAAATTCTAGATATGTATTTCTAAATGGTGATATTATTTCTTTCTCCCGTTTATTAAAGGTAGAAAAAAACCATGATTACCCAAAAAATATAAAAAAAAGTTTCCCTCATTGCCTATGGGGAAGAGAAATTAGATATTTTAGAAAAGTTTCCCAAATTTTCTTTATACTGAGAACTGAGTCTCATTTCTATCATTTCCCAATTGTATTTTAAGTTCTAATGGAAGAGAATTAAAAGATTCTTTAAGAACCTTTATTGTAGCGCAGACATTAACTTGTCTGGACTTTAAGACATCTTTGTGTCAAAGAAACTTTTCAAATTTTTAAATTATCATTATTTTTTTATCTGCTAGTTTTGGCTCACACTGGAAGTTCTATGTAAAACCTTATTGAGGAAAATATCATATATTTTTTTCCTTAATATCAATATCATGTGTTTTGGCCCCATTTAAAATGCTTTAAGAATTGAAAAAATCTTAAAAATACAAAAAAAAATCATCCGCAAAGTGGGCTCGGCCCCCCATGGCCAAGGGTACTAAAAAATGTTGCAAAAATGACTAAATAACTGTAAATTAAATATAACAATCAAGGTAAGTGATGCAAAATGACTTAAAATATGGTAAAATAAGTTATTTAGTGGCAGTAATAGCTAGTTTGTGATAAAAAGCATTAAAAAAAACGTTCCACACCAGGGAAGGAAAATCAGGACAATATTGCCAGGGGGTGGGGGAAATTTCAAATTCTAGTATGAATATACTCCCTTGGCCGTGGCGCTCGGCCCCCAAGCTTATCCTAGCCGCAGCGCTCGGCCCAGAAACTGTCTTAACCTAACCCTTAAATATATGATAATCTCTAAAATCTAAGGAACAAGCACTCATCCATCAAATTCAAAAGTTGTCACATTGATGTTCGAGATCAAGAGTTGTGGATTAGAGCTAATTAATACAAAATTTTGAAAAGTTTTTCAAATACTTAGAATATGCTTGAATTAAAATAAAATAATATTTGTTTATCTGTTTCAAGGTGGATCAGTGGATAAACGAGTATTGAAGAGGCAGGTGTCAAATACTAAGTTTGTTGTGAGGGAGGAGATTATAGAGGAGTATCTCGACGATGAGGAGGAGGAGGAGGAGAATGAGCTGTTGGTCAAGGAGGCTAGGAATCTTGATCTCAGGTATAGTGTCGGTCTCGGACCAGTGAAAATTAAAAGTTTTACAGATAAGAGTTTTGTAAATCTAGCCCCTCACACCTTTAAAGAAAGTTGCTTTCTCTTTCTTCTCTGTTCAGAAAGTGGTCTATATCATTCCATTTCTGATCCCAAATGGAATCGGGGTTGAAAGTACATTAAGTGGCATGCAAAAACACTATATATGGCATTGTAAACTTAGGCAATATCTTATGTACATGCACTACACTACAGAAATGTGTACTGCATTTGGGGGTGATAAAAGATTTAAATATCAGTAATCATGAAATCATCACTCCCTTGCAGTATACATTTTTCTACAACTTGACATCATACTTTCAACTGTTTACAACAACAACAACATGGTTAATCCTGCCCTTGGCCTAATATAAATCAATCAAGTTTTGGGATAGTATTAGATGAAATCATATGGACCCCTTTGTTCAGATAGTCTTTCTTTTGGGATTGAGGGGGGGGGGGGCGGGAGAGAACCTAGCGTAGTTTTTTAATTTTGGGTAGGAAAATATTCTTGTACTGAACAAAAAGTAGACAACCAATTGAGGATTAAAGGGTTAAAAGGGCTTTTCTCTGGGAAATAATATTTTTAAAAAGCGTAATTTTTAAGGCTTTTTTATAAGTAGGGACTAGGCAGACCAGCATACACCTGTAATCATGTGTGAAAGGAAAATCAAATATCTTAGATCTTAACTATGGATAGAGAAGCTTTAAAATTCGGTGATGGTGATGGACCAAACCTATGTAGAGTAAATAAAGTAGATGTTAGTTCCACATTTTATTGAAAATATGTTTCGGTCTGGGTTGACTCTCGTCAGTTCTTACGATTTAATATCAAATATATCAAATAAAAAATCAAAATCGATAATTAAAAAAATGTTAAAAAAAACACAAGAAAATAAATAAACAAACAAAAAAGATTATTGAAAAAAAATGAGCCTTCAAATGGACAAAAGGGAAACAAACTCAGATAATTTGCAGATATTCACTTTTTAAAAAATGTTTACAAGACAATTATTATTCCTTGAGATTGTTTCTGTCGAATGAAAATTAAAGTGGAAGTAGGGGTCTATCAAATTTTATACTTAAATCGTGGGGGGGGGGGGGCTTGTTTAAGGAGGGATATATAAACCTTTTTAAAGAATTGGACATCAGCAATACTCCTTTTTTTTAAATACTAAACTACAGTTTACAATTAATTAAAATCCATTTTTTTCTGTTCATTCCTCTGAGTTCAGTAATAAAATATCTGATATATTTAGATTATTGTACTTTAAGTAAACTTCTCCCAAGGTCCCAAACCTTCTCTAGAACGCTAACTTTTAGATGGTAGAGTTCATGTCCAGGAAGGTTAAAATGTTCTCCTGTAGGCTGGTTTGTATGAAGATTTCTAATGTAACCAATATGTTCTCTCACTCTTGCATCTAAAGATATTGGTGTCTGTCCATATATATTGCAGTTTACACTGCTCACATGTAATACAGTAAACTACATTTCTAGTCTTACAGATGAAAGTTCCATTAATCTTGATTTTCTTACTGGTAATAGAGGATTGTGTAACTGTTCCAGGCTCTATGTAGGGCCAGTTGAGGTTTCATTCCAGGTGTCAGCCTCTTTGGCTTGATTCTTGGGTGATATGGAGTTCTGGCTCGGATGAGTTGATCCCTGAGATTATAAGGTCTCCTGTAGATAACCGTAGGTGGATTTTGAACAAACCTCCTTCATCCAAGGATCCTGGACCATGGTTCTCCAATGTTTCTGAATGATGAAGGAAATACAAGGCAGCTGGGGATTAAATAAGATAGAGAGTATAACTAAGTAAAGCAACTTCTCTAGGTTAAGATTTCAGAGTCCACAATTGATGAATTGTGATCCCTGCAAAGAAAATCCTTTTTGTGCATCCCTTAGTTCTGTTATACTGCAATATCGTATAGATCTGTAAGCAAGTGAATAAGGCATGTTGTTGTATAGAGATATGTGCTGGGTGGTAAGATGATGGAAGTAGGTACATCTGTGGGTTTTCTGTAGAGGTCTGTTGTGATTTTTCCATCTTCAATGTACAGTTTTGTGTCAAGGAATGGCACCAATTCAGTCATGTTCATCCTTCTGACCACAATAAAATGGAGAACTATTTTCTACAGTAAACCTGATTTAGGGTGAATTTTATTAATATCATCCAGGAATTAATATAATTTCTCAATAGAAAATGTCCAGAGAAGCTCTGTAAAAAAGAGATTGTTGAACAAGCAGAAAATTTTTATTTTTGGCCAAATATTTTTGAGAATTCTATATAGTAAGGTTAAATGTAAAAATGAATTATAATTATTCACTAAGATAATAAATTAGTAAAACATTCGAATTTTTCGAAATAATTTTTTTAATTTTCAGGCAAACTTTGACCATGAAGATCGAGAATAAACCAATCAGACAGAAGATCCAACCAACCAAATCATTCTCAGATAGGTCGGGTTTATATTTAGAATTTAATCATTCTCAGATAGGTCGGGTTTATATTTAGAATTTAATCATTCTCAGATAGGTCGGGATTTTATTTAAAACCAAATCATTATCAAATAGGTCGGGTTTATATTTAAAACCAAATCATTCTCAGATAGGTCGGGTTTATATTTAAAATCAAATCATTTTTAGAAAGGTTGGGTTTATATTTAAATTCTAATCTGAAGATATGTCGGGTAATAATAGAACTTTTCTTTGAGGTCTAGGTTTTACGGAGGACGAACCAACCAACATTACGTGCAGCCGAAAAAGTATAAATTTATTGGAAACTCCAATTTAAAATAAAGATCGGGCTAAAATCCAGAAATTGGGAAGGAATTAAAACTCTAACCCAATAGAAGTATGCCTCAAGAAATCCCCGTAAAACATAATTTAAATTGATTTGATTTGATTTTATTTGATCATCTTGAACTTATGTTTAGGTTTGATTGAGGGCGGAGTAAGATGGATAACCTTGAACTAATGTTTAGGTTTGTAGGAGGTCGGAGTAAGATGGATAATCTTGAACTAATGTTTAGGTTTGAGGGTGGGCGGAGTAAGATGGATAACCTTGAACTAATGTTTAGGTTTGTTGGAGGACGGAGTAAGATGGATAATCTTGAACTAATGTTTAGGTTTGTAGGAGGACGGAGTAAGATGGATAACCTTGAACTAATGTTTAGGTTTGTATAGGAGGACGGAGTAAGATGGATAATCTTGAACTAATGTTTAGGTTTTTAGAAGGACGGAGTAAGATGGATAATCTTGAACTAATGTTTAGGTTTGAGGGTGGGCGGAGTAAGATGGATAACCTTGAACTAATGTTTAGGTTTGTAGGAGGACGGAGTAAGATGGATAATCTTGAACTTATGTTTAGGTTTGAAGGAGGACGTTTAAGATGGATATTGGATAATCTTGAACCAATGTTTAGATTTGAAGGAGGACGGAGTAAGATGGATATTGGATAATCTTGAACTAATGTTTAGTTTGAGGGAGGACGGAGTAAGATGGATAATCTTGAACTAATGTTTAGGTTTGACGGATGACAGAGTGAGATGGATAATCTTAAACTAATGTTTAGGTTTAAGGGTGGGCGGGGTAAGATGGATAATCTTGAACTAATGTTTAGGTTTGACGGATGACAGAGTGAGATGGATAATCTTGAACTAATGTTTAGGTTTGAGGGTGGGCGGGGTAAGATGGATAATCTTGAACTAATGTTTAGGTTTGGAGGAGGACGGAGTAAGATTGATAATCTTGAACCAATGTTTAGGTTTGTAGAAGGACGGAGTAAGATGGATAATCTTGAACTAATGTTTAGGTTTGAAGGAGGGTGTAAGATTGGTAATCTTAAACTAAAGTTTAGGTTTGAAGGAGGACGGAGTAAGATGGATAATCTTGAACTAATGTCTAGGTTTGAAGGAGGACGGAGTAAGATGGATAACCTTGAACTAATGTGTAGGTTTGAAGGTGGACGGAGTAAGATGGATAATCTTGAACTAATGTTTAGGTTTGAAGGAGGACGGAGTAAGATGGATCATCTTGAACTAATGTTTAGGTTTGAAGGAGGGCGGAGTAAGATGGATAACCTTGAACTAATGTTTAGGTTTGAAGGAGGACGGAGTAAGAGGGATAACCTTGAACTAGATGATGGCGAAGATCTACCGGATATAGAGGATATGAAGATCGAGGTGAATTTAAAGTGACAATAAATAAAATTAGCATACGATCATTAACCCTTGCTGTTTCCCTTTAAATCTTTTTCCATACAGCAATTGTCAAGATGATATTTTTGTATACCCGTAAATGGTTTACTTGCACATGCACCTGTAGCTTTTCAGAATATTTTACAACATCGTTAACCAGATGATAATAAACATTGAAATTGTTTTATATTACTGATTTCTTAAGCTTGAAATTTGAAAACAGATGTTATCTTTTTTAATGCTAGACTTGAAGTCGACGACTTCTTTATACTTGGAAGATCTATTCTGAAGAAAAACTTGGTTCCGAGTCATTTTAAAATCCATTAATCGGGATATTGTGTGATTAGTTTGTTTAATAAATGAAAAAGTTTTCAGGGACATTTAAATCTTTTAACCCTTTTAATTACAAACATGTTTTAGATACGTCAGTACAGTAGTGATGAGGATGGAATGGATGTGGATGACAATGAGGTTGAGAGAGAGAGGATGAAAAGATTACGGATGAAGGATACGGTTGGAAAAGGAGATCTAAGAGCTAGTATGCGCGGCGGAGATCTACGGGATAGGATGCGTGGGAAGAGGATGGAGAGGAAGGAGGATGAGGTTGAGGTGAGGAGGGAAAGGAGGGAGGAGAGGACCGATACAAGACGAGACGAGAGAAGGGATGAGGTTAGAGTCAAGAAGGAGAAGGATGGGGAGCAGAGAAAGGAAAGTAAGAATAGAACTGAGAAGAAGGAACGGAAGGATGAACAGAAACTGATAGAGGAAAGGGTTCGAGAGATTGAAGCTTTAAAGAAGCAGGAACGTAAACTATTGGAAGAGAAGGAAAGGAAACTAAAGGAGATGGAGAAAAAGAGAGAAGAAGATCGACTGAAACAGAAGAGAGAGAAGGAAAGGGAACGGGAAAGGGAAAGACGGGAGCGTGAACGGGAGAAGGAGAGGATTGAACGGGAAAGACAGAAAGCCAAAGAGAAGCTGCGAGAGAAAGAGCGTTCTCGTAAATCCCGAAGGAAGAGTGAGAGTAGTGATAGCGATTCGTCCGACAGCGGAGACTCGTCCAGTGATGACAGCGATTCCGAATCTGAATCCTCTTCATCATCTTCATCGGACGAGTCGGATAGTTCTGATAGCGAGAGCGAATCATCATCATCTGAATCTGAAACCGAGAGGAAACGCGGGAAACACAGCTCAAGTAGATCGTCTAAAAAGCCCGTCAAAAAGGAACCTGAGAAGAAGAAATCCTTGAAAGCTGAGCCAAGCAGGAAAGGAAAGGAGAGCAAGGTGTCAAGTAAATCCTCCGGGAAAGGAGACACTGCTGATGATTCCAAGAAAGCATTGGAACTCCGAGACAAACTGAAGAACTACTTGAAGAAAGCTAAGGAAGCCAAGGATGAGAATGATAAAAAATGATTTTTTGATAATTTTGCGATTCTCCTTGTACCTTCCTATTGTAAATTACAACCCCCCCCCCCCCACACTAATAAACCTCGTCGTTTTGTAAATAGATATTTTCAGAAACAATTATAATACGAGATGAGATATTCAGAATTTGTTGTATTGTTGCATTTTTTCTTTGAAAATTCGAATAAATCTGAATCTGTTAGCAACGTTAATCTATGTTTTCAGACGACAATGGACGGGGTTTGTTCTATGTTTGAGCTGGTCAACCCACATCTGCTTCCAGTACATGTGCTCATTAGGAACTTGGAGAATAAAATTACAAAGGAGGGAAGGGAGTTTCAATGATTAGATGGCAATGTCCGATTCACAATGGCACGTTTTAAAGCTTTTTTTAAAAGTATGAGCATGTAATTTTTATTATTTTGAAAACTGATTTTTTTCAAACGCATTTCTTCTGCAGGAAAACTTGTAAGAATTACCACAACTAAACATTTATAAACATAGAAGGAACAAAACGACAATATCTTCAACACTTCTTGATGAATTGAAGGTTTCAACGCGGTACCGTTCTGAACCAGACATTACATTCATTTAGGTTCACTTGAAATTAATGTATTTGAAAATATTAGTTAAACACGAACGAATTTTTTAATTGTCACAATATCATATAAAAATTTAATTACTAAGACGAGATTTTAAAGTGGTAATGTTATTCTCATGTTTCTTTGTACCGTTAGAAACTTCGACAAAAATTTTACATGGAAATATAAAATGAAAAAAAACGATTTCTAATTAAGTTTTGATTTCCAACACGGTTTTTTTCAGTTTAAAAGTAAACAAAGAGACGCTGTCTTTTTGACAGATTTTTAAGTGTATCCATGCTGCTTGAAAGTTTGATAGAAATGAAAAGCCGTCTTTATTGTATTGTATTGATTTAAAACTGAAAAAACGTAGTTTTTCACAATTATTTTAAATCTTCTGTTGATTGTCGAACAATAAAATCAGAAATCTTAAATGTTGAAAATATCAAATTTATAATGAATATGTGGAAGAAAATGATCTTGTCATATCTGTATATTCCTTTGGAAGAAATTGCAAGATATTGTTCTTTCTATGTATTCTGTGAAAGAAAACAATTCTAGATCTTGTTCTTTCTGTGTATTCTGTGGAAGCCCATGCTAGATCTTGTTCTATCTGTGTACTCTGTGAAAGAAAATGCTAGATCTCTGTCTTTATGTGTATTCTGTGGAAGATAATGCTAGATCTTGTCTAATCTGTAAATCATGAGAAAGAAAATGCTAGTTCTTGTTCTATCTGTAAATTATGAGAAAGAACATGCTAGATCTTGTCCTATCTGTAAATTATGAGAAAGATCTTGTCCTATCTGTAAATTATAAGAAAGAAAATGCTAGATCTTGTCTTATCTGTAAATTATGAGGAAGGAAATGCTAGATCTTGTCCTATCTGTAAATTCTGTGGAAGAAAATCCCTAGAGGTTTTCTATCGAAGAAAATTATGGATCTTGTCCTATCTGTGAATTCTTGGAAGAAGATGTCTAGCATTTTCTATCTTTCTATTTTGTGGAAGACAATTATAGATCTTGTTCTATCTGTGTATTCTGTGAAAGAAAATTTAAGATCTTTTCCTATCTGTATATTCTGTGGATTAAAATGCGAGACTTTTTTTGTGTATTCTGTGGAAGAAACTGCTAGATCCTGTCATATCTGTGTATTCTGTGGAAGAAAATAGTAGATCCTGTCTGATGTTTGTATTCTATGGAAGAAAATGCTATATCCTGTCCTATATGTTTTTTCTATGGAAGAAATTGTTAGATCTTGTCCTATCTGTGAATTCTTAAAGAAAATGCTAGATCATGTTCCATCTGTGTATTTTGTGGAAGAAAATGCTAGATCTTGTCCTGTCTGTGAATTCTATGGAAGAAAATGTTAGATCTTGTCCTATCTTTGAGTTCTTGGAAGAAAAAGGTAGAGCTTGTTTATCTGATGATTCTGTGAAAGAAAATGCTAAATCTTGTTCATCTGTGTATTCTGTGGCAGAAAATACTAGATCTTGTCTTATCTAAGAAAAGAATAAAAGAATCCCAGTCCTTTACTCATCAGTCTCTTTTTGTCTCAAAAAATTGTATTTGGAAATTGAAGACAGAAGATGAACTGGGTAGAACAACTTTTATCATTTGACAGTTTTAGTTAACAAACAAACACACACATTTGTGTGTTTACACCATTATATGATTATTGATGCGGTGGTGGTTAATGGAGTGGGGATGGGGGGACATTGACATCCATGAAACATTTTAGATTGCACATTCTAAGTCACATAAATTAAATTGTTGAGAATGGATTCATTCATGAATTATTTTTTTTTCGAAAATTCGAAAAGGGATTCGACATTTTCACGAGTGTGTTTGCTATTGATTTAAAAAAAATTATGATGTTCGACCAGGAGGAGGAAACTGTCTCTTTATATAATCTAATTAATTACTGGAAATATCAAAGAAAATGATTAATTCCACTAAATGTGGCTTTAATTCATAATTTAATATGAGCATTAAATTCCAACCAAGCTTCCTTTTCAATTAATTAAATCATATGATTATAATTATATAATAAAGCTCTTCGCTCAAATATATATATACTACCCTTATAGGGCGCTTCGCGCCCATCTTCTAAATTAATTGTGAACATGTTCTCTTTGTGTACATTGTAAAACAAAACAAACAAAATTCGCGGATTTTCACAAAAAATTTCGTGGATTTTCAAAATTTTCAAAAATTTAATGAAGACCGAATTTTGATGGAGACAAATATTTGAAGTTTTGATAATTCATAAACCTTCCCTGTGGTCACGTGATGTCCCACAAAAAATTTGGGCCCGATCGGTTCAGCCGTTTTGACGTTTATTGGATACAAACAAACAAACAGACAAGCCAAATTTATATATAGATATTCAGCTTATAGTTGGCCAAACGGCTGGACCGAATGGGCAGGTTGAGGAAACTCATGAGTGCTCACTACCTGAGGGGCAACATAGGATTCTTCAAAAATCGGAATTTCTTTTTCAAAAATCGATTTTTTTTATCTAGAAAGTTAGTTTTTTTAATCCACGGGCAACGCCGGGCACCAGCTAGTTACAAATATGATCTGCAAGTTGTATGGATTTTATATATATGTTTGATAAACTTTTGTGTGTCCTAGTGCACTGTATGTTTTCTAAGTTAATTGCGTACCTTTAAAACCGGTTTGGTACCTCAAATGGTGCCTTGACAATAATTTACAATAAAATTAAACAATCATCCTTCAATCCAAGGAAAGTAGGGAAAACCAGGCTAAAATTCTTATTGTTGTAAAAGGAGTTTCTTTGATCAATGTTACAATGATTCAATAATAAAATAATAACAATTCTTACTAATGACAAGTATGATGACCTTGATAATGATAATTACGATGACAATGACAATTGACCATTGACAAATGACTATCATTATGATAATGACTAATGACTTTCACTATAGTTATGACCAATGACCAATGACCAATGACCAATGACCAATGATTATGACTATGACTAAGACTAAGACTAAGACTAAGACTAAGACTAAGACTAAGACTAAGACTAAGACTAAGACTAAGACTAAGACTAAGACCATGACCATGACCATGACCATGACCATGACCATGACCATGACCATGACCATGACCATGACCATGACCATGACCATGACCATGACCATGAAATGACAAATGACAAATGACCATGACCATGACCATGACCATGACCATGACAAATGACCATGACCATGACCATGACAAATGACCATGACCATGACCATGACCATGACCATGACCATGACCATGACAAATGACAAATGACAAATGACAATTGAAAAATGACATTCTCCATGTCCCTGCAGACTTTACAGTTTGCATGTTGGGAAGCCAGAAGCCCTTCTGAATTCTCTTTCTCAGGTGAAATTATATCTATAGGGAGCAAAGACGTAGTATTTTTAAATACCCGGCCCCCTTTTTAGCATAACATTTTCGATTCATAATAGCAACTTTAAAACCTGCATTAGAGTAACAATCCTTCTTCGGAGGTTTTACAGTTTGTAAATTTCCTTCATTGTCTCTGCTGCATAAATCCACAAGTCACGAGTTAAAATGATTTTATTTATCCTTGATCAGATAAAAGTTGAAAGAGCTCCGTTGTGAATCGGACAAGCTATCGACAAATTACGGTTACAGTCTCATTAAGTTTATTTTATTTGAATTAGTTGTATTTTAGTTTTATTTTAAAAATCACATTTTCCGTAAAAATCCTTGGATTACTATGATAAGTATGAGACATTTATATTTAGCGTACGAAATACATGAAAAGATAATTGCACTTTAAGTCTTATTCCAGTTTGTGTACTAATTAGGAAGTTTTGTCCTACGTTTGGAAGTAAAAATAAGTTCAAAAATCAAAAAAGAGATTTTTTAAGGAAACTATACTTGAATTCGTGTCCATAAATATTTCTCCGAAAGACCAGAGAACATACAGGAACCATTAATATCATTCATTCAATTAAATTCATTAAATATTATTTATTAAATAAAATTTAATAAATATTATTCATTAGATAAAAATTTTTAAATATTATTCATGAAATCAGCATTCATTTGGTGCTATTAATTTTATATATTTCAAACGTTCTATGTTATTTTTTAATATTAATCTTTAAGTGACTGAAGACGTAATTGCATGTGATCCTGAATTTATAAAGTGCGTGGCATGTCCGATTCACCACAGTACCATATCTGTATCCTATCAAGTTGAATAAAATATCCTTGTGTTTTATTATTATTTATCGGACATGTTACTCTGTCACCTCAAATAACGTCTTAAGTCCTTTAAAAATAGTTAGAAACTACATAGTTTGAAAAATATTGTTGGGTTTAGAGAAAACAGGAAGGATTTAACCAAGATGCAGGCACAGAAGCGTAGTTCCTCAGAGTGTTACAACACCACTACAGCCAAGAAATTTAAAAGTGATAGCGGAGCAGTCGCAAATTCTAGCAATGGGTCAACCTCATGTTCCAGAAAACCTATCAGACCAAAAATCACGTGGCCTTGATGACGTCAAAACCATGATTTTTTTTTTATCTTTTAAAGCTGTTCATTCAAGGGGCTGTAAATTTAATTTCAAGTTATCTCGATTTAAAGATTGGCATTTCAGATTTACAACGGTACCCTTGTCGATAATTCTGTCTGATAAATAGTATACATGATATATTCATCATCTTCTCTTTAAAAATTTGTTATTAAGTGAGTTGCGGATAATAAGTGAGTGGAGGAAATTTTAAGAATTAGACACTTCTAATTAGAAAAACTACCATGTCTTCAACGTAATTGATCAATAAACGGTTTAATGGATACCGTTGTGAATCTTGCTTGCTCCTCTTTTCAACGGACGGTCAACTGAAATAATTTTTTTTAAGAATGTGTTCAAATTGATGTGTTTAAATAAATCGGGCAATCCCAATTGGTATATTGCCATATATTGCCATATATTGCCATTGGCTGTGCACATACCGATCTCTCATATTGTCATATTTATGATCAACAATCTTCTTGGACTTATCTTAAATCTTGACGGTGGTAGTATTTATTAAATATATGGTTTGTAAATTCTGTATTATAGTTTACTTGTGAAAGACTTAATTCTTTTTTTCATATTTTTTCAGACTAAAATGGAATCCATTGAACCAGCCAAACGGTAATTTAGGGATTTTTTCTTTTATTTTTCTCTAATGTTACTAATTCCACAAGATCCTTTTTAGGATTTATGTGGTTTTCATAAGTTTAAAAATAAATGTCTATTTTCAAGAAGTTCAAATTTAATGTTTTTAATCTACTTTTATTGTATTTTTTTTGTATAACTTAACAAGAGTTAAATATCTAGATATATTATAACCCGGGAATATCTATATCATAACTAGTGCTTAGGATCCATTTAATTTTGACGTGGATCCAAATCTGCACTGTTCAGATTTGGGTTTTTGTCTTGAATATCCAAGGTATATAATAACCCGGCAATGTCTAGGTATATTATAACCCGGCAATGTCTAGGTATATTATAACCCGGGAATATCTAAGCTATATTATAACCCGGCAATGTCTAGGTATATTATAACCTGTGAATATCTTAAATATATTATAACCCGGCAATGTCTAGGTATATTATAACCTGGGAAAATCTAAGCTATATTATAATCCGGCAATGTGTAGGTATATTATAACCTGTGAATATCTTAAATATATTATAACCAGGCAATGTCTAGGTATATTATAACCCGGGAATATCTAAGCTATATTATAACCCGGCAATTTCTAGGTATATTATAACCCGGGAGCCCATTGGATCTGCAAATAAACATCTAACAGATCAAACCACGCTTATTCTCAACCTACAAACTGACATCAAGCAAATACAGGTCAGGTTATTACAAGGTTGTATAATAAGGTTGCATTCTCTTAATGCGCTCCAATGTACGGGAAATGTCGTCTCCATCTATGCTAAGGAGACGACATATCCCGTACATTGGAGCGCATCGAGAGTGAGCAGCCTTATTATACAACCTTGGGTTATTATTCCATTATTTGAATAATCTTCATCGGGCTTATTAGAGGGAGGTGGCAAGGAGTGTCCCATCCTGGAGTGTCCCCCCCCTTCCCACTCAGGATGTTAATTATAATGTTTTTACTTGTTTCAGACCTGGATTCAGATTTTGGCAGACCAGGAACAAAACATAAAAGAATATGATCTTATATATATAATAGGCTTTCAGGGCTTTCTATTATAACTTTGAATTGTGGCTCTATCGGTGAGCATATTCTCTTCGTTGATATAAAACAATACTAAAAAAGTTCGCTGATTTCTTAATATTTTTGAGTGGGTTTTCAACAAACAAACAAACAGACACCCAGACTGGACTGTGCCTGTTTCGGATCTTACACAGACAAGCAAAGTATATATATATATAGAGAAAAAGCAAACCTTTTGTATTCAGAAAGAAAATATGGCATGTCAGATTAAAAAGGGAAAAAAACATTACTTTTTATCAAAAAATGATTCAATATAATTTTGTCCGCCAGATAACAGGGGTAGATCGGAAAACGGATGGAGTCTATGGAAAACTGGATGGAGTATTTGGGAAAATGGATGACGTCTCTGAGAAAATGGATGGAGTATGTGGCAGAATGGATGGAATCTCCCAGAAAATAAATGGAGTTTCTGAAGAAATTACAAATTCTGTTAAAGCTTTGAAAAATCAGCAATTTAAGCTTTCATCACAAATCAAGTAAGTGTTTTTTAAGTGTAACATTTTAATTTTACTAAATAGATCTTTTTGTAACTAGAAACTTGTAACAAGTAAAACCTTGGCCTTGTGCGTATTTATTTGTATTTATAAATAAAAAAGTTTTAAGAATATTTCACTTTGAATTTTCCTTTTGGTTAAATAAATCCCTATTTAGTATTTACATCACGCCTTAAATGAGGGCCCAATGTGAGTTGAACTCTTAGCAAATCTTAAATTTAGAAAATTTGTTAGTAGCTAAAGAGACTTATTAAAAGTTTTTTTCAGAACCGGTTCTTCTGTTCAACTAATCACCACGTGCACACAAACCCCTAAGACCATCCAAACATCCTCAGCTGAATCTGTGAAGCTCTGTAAAACTGCGAAACCTGAACTAAGTCAAGAAGGAATTCTATGATTTGTTAAAATCTTGCCCTCCATTTATTAACACATGACAAGTACTATGGAAGATATTTTATATTTTTATAAAGGTATTACTGTTCGAGATTCAAAGTTTTCTTCAGTTATAAGAAAAACTCTGCGTAAAATAATAAAAACCTTTGAGGAGACCTTTAAACTTAATTCGGTCAAGTAATTTAATCATAATTAGGTAGACAACATAAATTGTAGTTGTATTAGCAGATATTTTTCATTTTTTTCAACTATTGTAATTTGTCTAGATTAAAAGTTTTCTGTTGCCCCTTTGGCTTTTGGGAGAGCTATAACTCGGAAAAATATTTCGCCTCTAAAGCTTTTGGTAAAAGGAGATTATATTCTGAAATTCCAAATATATACTTTTAGTGTTAGAGATCAAATTATCAAAATGATTTTAAGAAGTATGGTTATTTTAATAACGAGTTTTTAGCTATTGCTGATAACATTGAGATGGTAAGCATTTCAATATTTTCAAATATCGTTGGGATGGGGGGAGGGGAGGTGTTTATTCATAATTAACGAAGATCCGAAAACAAAATTATTTTGATTAGCCCCTCAATCATGAAAATCATTATTCAAATAAGGGGGTCCTACTGTTCTGATGAATACTCCTGGAACCAGGGTCACTGGGTCATCTCAGGTTATAAATCATTCACAATATTCGTCTTAAAGGGACTGTAAGCGTAATTTCATGCGATCCTCCATTCAAAGTTGGCAATGCCGGATTCACAATGATACCCTTAAAACCATTATATAATCAGCAGTGTGGAAGATACTGTAATTGTTCTAGGTTGAAAAGTAATTATTTTTCATAGTTCTTTTTGTTCTACTGATGTAGAAATGCGCATGTCACTCGTGTAGGGAAACCACAACTTAAATTTATCAGTTTTAAAAATTATAAATATTGAGGATTAGACAAAGTTTTCAAGGGTACAATGTTGTAAATCGGGCATTGCCATTTTTGCATGGAGGTTCACTTACAGTCCCTATAAAGGTAACAATTGCAATTCTATTAATTACTTGTTAAATTGGGTTTGGGCAATTTTCAATTGCAGGTAGATACTCCTTAAAAGAAGGATCGCAGTTTAAAGGGGTCTTGATTTCCACAGAATGATGGACGATCTTTTATTTATTTATTATTTACTTATTTATTTATATACATCTTAGTAGAAGACTGGAATATTTAGGTGGAAGATTGATCAACAGTTCATCTTAGTAATTTATTATTTACTTATTTATTTATTTACTTATTTATTTATTAGCTCATAGATCATTATGTAAGAGAGATATTGCATTTCTTTAAGGTTCTATATCCATCTTTAAAGAAGAGATCGCAGTTTTTTTCATTAGGGTAGTCAAAGGAATTCCTCCCAACGGGATTACAGAGAGAGATCGTAAATGGATTCGCTTTAAACTCTAATTTTATGAATTTTAGGTTGTTACTTTAAATGCAGAATCAGATTTCCCTCATGGGTCTTGGTTAGGAAATCCTGAAGATGTTCATAGGTCGGTTTTGTTTTTATAAATAGATATATATAGATATTTATATAAGAATTTTTTTGTTTCAAAACAATAAACTGAGTAATGACTTCAAGTTGGTCTTTTTTAAGAATTGACAATTAGCATTGTAATAATAAATTGTAAAGCAATAATATTCTTACTTCTGCTATAAAGTATAGTATAAGGTAAACGAGAGTTTTATTTATCTGAAAAACTTAAAGCTGTCTTTTCTTTTCAATACAGTAAAACATTTTTTATCGATTGGAGAGACCTAGTTAGACTTTGATTTGACAAAAGGGTTTCCCTGAAACTTTGATTTGTTTTCATTCAATAGTATGAGTAATTTGAAATATGTGATCAATTTAATTACCTTGTGTTAATTATATATTTACATTTATGATCGAAAGAAACGGCAGTCGGCACGTTGTTATTAATGATTTTTTTTCAGAAGGGTTCGAGTTCCTATTTCCAGTGAAGATCTATACAATCTAGAACAATCTCAACCAGGAGCAGAAAAACTAGCTCTGGCTCTTCTAGACAGATTATTCAGTAGGTAGGGACTTATAGACAGATAATTCAGTAGGTAGGGACTTCTAGACAGATTATTCAGTAGGTAGGGACTTCTAGACAATTATTCAGTAGGTAGTGACTTCTAGACAAATTATTCAGTAGGACAGAATATTCAGTAGGTAGGGACTTCTAGACAGATTATTCAGTAGGTAGGGACTTCTAGACAAATTATTCAGTAGGACAGAATATTTAGCAGCTTAGGAACTTCTAGACAGATTATTCAGTAGGTAGGAACTTCTAGACAGATTATTCAGTAGGTAGGGATTTCTGGACAGATTATTCAGAAGGTTGGGACTTCTTAGACAGATTATTCAGTAGGTAGGAACTTCTAGACAGATTATTCAGTAGGTAGGAACTTCTAGACAGATTATTCAGTAGGTAGGGACTTCTAGACAGATTATTTAGTAGGTAGGGACTTCTAGACAGATTATTTAGTAGGTAGGGACTTCTAGACAGATTATACAGATTATTCAGTAGGTAGTGACTTCTAGACAGATTATTCATTAGGTAGAGACTTCTAGACCGATTATTTAGTAGGTAGGGACTGATAGACAGATTATTTAGTAGGTAGGGACTTCTAGACAGATTATACAGATTATTCAGTAGGTAGTGACTTCTAGACAGATTATTCAGTAGATAGGACTTCTAGACAGATTATTCAGTAGGTAGGAACTTCTAGACAGATTATTCCGTAGATAGGACTTCTAGACAGATTATTCAGTAGGTAGGGACTGAAAGACAGATTATTTAGCAGGTAGGGACTTTTAGATAAATTATTCAGTAGGTAGTGACTTCTAGACAGATTATTCAGTAGGTAGGGACTTCTAGACAAATTATTCAGTAGGTAGGGACTTCTAGACAGACTATTTAGTAGGTAGTGACTTCTAGATAGATTATTCAGCAGGTAGTGACTTCTAGATATATTATTCAGTAGGTAGTGACTTCTAGACAGATTATTCAGTAGATAGGGACTTCTAGACAGATTATTCAGCAGGTAGGACTTCTAGACAGATCATTCAGTATGTAGGGACTTCTAGACAGATTATTTAGTAGGTAGGGACTTCTAGACAGATTATTCAGTAGGTAGAGACTTCTAGACAGATTATTCAGTAGGTAGGGACTCCTAGAAAGATTATTCAGCAGGTAGGGACTTCTAGACAGATTATTCAGTAGGTAGGGACTTCTAGACAGATTATACATTAGGTAGGGACTGAAAGACAGATTATTCAGCAGGTACACCGATTATTCTGTAGTTAGGGACTTATTGAAAGATTATGTTTTCTTGAAAGATTATATTTCTTGAAAAGTTTAGCGGCAAATATGCAAGGTATTGGCCAAAAAGTTCAATATTAAAATCAGTATATGGTGCACTTCTTTCTGTACTCCTCTTGCTGGGCAAAAAGAAATTGTTTTTCATAAAATTATGCCCGAATACCGTTATTATTATTATGAATTTTTTGGCCAATATCATGCACATTTGCCGCTAAACTAGTCAATAAAACATTCTTTCTCTTTCGTTCATTTTAAATTGTCAAAATACTTGCAAATAGCATGGTGTTAAAAGTGATAAAAAATATTTCAGCCATTTCCTGATTGATCTAACTGATGGTGTAAAAATGATGCGATTTTTACTTTGTTTGACCATTTGAAAATCCTAACAATTCTGTGATATAAAGTTAGAACCAAGCTTTCCGAAATGGTATAACACTTTAAAATCTCTTAAAAATGGATAAATTTGTAGCATTTTAGCCAAAAATGGCTGGAAAACATTAAATTGGCTGACTTATTTAGAAAAAGTATCAAAAAGTGCTAAAAAGTTTGTATTTGCGCTGGTTTTTACCTAATTCTTCTTAAAAAATGTTTCGCACAAGTAGGATTTTATTTTCAGGGGCACCCTACCATCTCCCTCACAAAGTTTTTTAAGTGTCTTATATATGTTTTGTAAAGTTTGGCTTGGTAAAATATTTTAATACCCCTGTTGTTCCTGATGGTCTAAAACTTTTAGTTTGATGTAAAACTAGTCTGAAACTTTTCTTTTGAATTTTAATTTAAAAGTATTTATATTAGATTTAGGATATATCAGGATATAGAACACAGTTATAAACACTAGTATTAGAGAAGCATAGCTTATATATGTGTAAATAATATTTGTAATTTTTTTGCAGTTAATATATAAAGTGTGTTTTTGATAAGATTCCGCTAGGGTTGTCCTAGACTTTATCTGATATAATCTAGGACAACCCTAGCGGAATCTTATCTGATATAAACAAGGACAGCCATAGCGGAATTGTAATCTAGGACAACCTTAGCGGAAATGTAATCTAGGACAACCATAGCGGAATTATAATCTAGGACAACCATAGCGGAATTGTTTTCTAGGACAACCATAGCGGAATTGTAATCTAGGACAACCATAGCGGAATTGTTTTCTAGGACAACCATAGCGGAATTGTAATCTAGGACAACCATAGCGGAATTATAATCTAGGACAACCATAGCGGAATTGTTTTCTAGGACAACCATAGCGGAATTGTAATTTAGGAAAACCTTAGCGGAATCTAATCTGATATATTCTAGGACAACCCTAGCGGAATTGTTTTCTTGGACAACCATGGCGGAATTGTAATCTAGGACAACCTTAGCGGAATCTAATCTGATATATTCTAGGACAACCCTAGCGGAATCTAATCTGATATAGTCTAGGACAACCCTAGCGGAATCTAATCTGATATATTCTAGGACAACTCTAGCGGAATCTTGTCTAATATAAACAAGGACAACCATTGCGGAATTGTAATCTAGAACAACCTTAGAAGAAATGTAATCTAGGACAACCATAGCGGAATTGTAATCTAGGACAACCATAGCGGAATTGTAATCTAGGACAACCTTAGCGGAATCTAATCTGATATATTCTAGGACAACCCTAGCGGAATCTAATCTGATATATTCTAGGACAACCCTAGCGGAATCTAATCTGACAGGAAAGGGACGACATAAGAAGAAACAATTAAATCCTCTATTTATCTATGGAATATATTCACATCTCAAATACCAGTATTCGATTTCAGAGGTTAGGAAAATTAATTGATTATTAAAACCAGGATAATGAAAAAAATATTGCAGTTTTTACAATTTTTCGTGTTCACTTTTTTAATCTCTGTTCTTTTATGATGGAATCATAAATTTTTTAACTAGCCATATCTAATTTTTAATTTTTGAAATATCAAATGCTTCAGTTCATAACTAGATGGGTTTTTATTATTTCGAGATTCTTTTTGACACTTTTATTTTTAAAATAAATCCCTATGATAAAGATTGTATTATATGAGCTTCATTTTCTACCTTAAAGGGACTGTAAGCGCAATTTCATGTGACCCTCGACAAGGGTTTCCAACGAACAAAACTTTTGCGAAAAAATTCGAAAATTTTCGTTCGTATTTCGCGAAAAATAGTTCGGGAGCGAACGATATGCGAAATTTTCAGGAGAAAAAATATATTTTTCTTGATAAATGCGAAATTTTCGCGAAACCATTTATCGTTTTCGCTGGAAACCATACCCTCGACTCAATACTAAAATTTACAAAGTTACATTAAAAATCTAAATATGAACAAAAATCATTTGTTCAATTGACAGGGGTTTTTGCAGGGGATGGTCACTTGCAATTACGCTTACAGTCCCTTTACCGCTCTATTTTACATGTGTAAACGGTGCAAAATGTTTTAAATCTAACATTTTTTAATTTCTTCTGCAGTTGGATTGGAACCGTCTGAAGAACAATATAGAAGCAAGATGTAGGTTTCTTTTCAAACGGAAACTCAAGAAACTTCCATTAGGTGAGAAGATAAAAACTGAGATTAAAGGGACTGTTGTAATTTCAAGTGACGTCTCTTCATAAAAAGAGGGACAAGTCCGATTCACATTTACCTTTGAAGGTTACTTCAATCCAGACTCATACATCTTAGTAGAAGACTGGAATATTTAGGTGGAAGATTGATCAACAGTTCATCTTAGTAGAAGACTGGAATATTTAGGTGGAAGATTGACCAACTGTACATCTTAGTAGAAGACTGGAATATTTAGGTGGAAGATTGACTAACTGTACATCTTAGTAGAAGACTGGAATATTTAGATGGAAGATTGATCAACTGTACATCTTAGTAGAAGACTGGAATACTTAGGTGGAAGATTGATCAACTGTACATCTTAGTAGAAGACTGGAATACTTAGGTGGAAGATTGATCAATTGTACATCTTAGTAGAAGGTTGACCAACTGTGTATACTGTTGTTGACACAAATAAAAGAACAAAAGGGATATTCGGTAACTTTATTGAATAATAGCATGAAATGAGAAATAAAAGCAAAGTTAAAAAATATTGACCCTTAATTTGGAGTATCTAAACGGTTGAAAATGAAATAACATTGATTATTAGTGTTGAAAGGAATGGAACAGTTGGAGCTTCATGTTGGTGGAGCAGATCAACAGGAAATGGCAAGAGAGGATTGATAACACCTGGCTTATCCAACCTAGTAGGCGGATATCGCGGTTTTATCATGATGCGATTGAGCGATTATGTTGTCTCTGGATTACATGATAAACTGGGAACCCTTAGGATAGCTCGACTGCTGCTAGCTGAGTATCTGCGCCATCATCATAAAGGAATGGAACAGTTGGGCTTCATGTTGGTGGAGCAGATCAACAGGAACTGGCAAGAGAGGATTGATAACACCTGGCTTATCCAACCTAGTAGGCGGAGATCGCGGTTTTATCATGATGCGATTGAGCGATTATGTTGTCTCTGGATTACATGATAAACTGGGAACCCTTAGGATAGCTCGACTGCTGCTAGCTGAGTATTTGCGCCATCATCATAAAGTTAGTAGTTCCTGATCGGAGGTGTTCACATCTCGACGTTCTAAAGCTAACTGACGCTGTTCTCCACGAGTAGAGGCGGTAAAGGGGGGGGGGACATGAGGAGACACATTTGGAGCGGTTATAGTATTATGTATTGTAAATCTTGCGCGGTCAACTTCGCTACACAGTAGTAATCGTCTTTTCTTGTTTTCTTGAATTTGTTACAACTGTATATACTCTAGGTGAACCTAAACCTATAGAACCTGCTAGTGCTGAGAACTGTAGTATTGTAGTTTATCCACTCTATCAAGTAGATAGTAGCCACCTTATGCAGGTCTTTTTACACAATTCAAATTATCACATACTATTTAATTTGTTTTTGTCTTTTTATATTTTCACCATAATTTCCTTTTTCTTGGGGAAAAAAACATTTAAAACATTTGGAAGTCTTAAGAAAGAAATAAATTTTTCTCCAATTGTCAATTGATTGTTTACTATATTTATAAAGGTTGGACTGGAAGGATTAGATCATCATGTGCTTCAGCAAGGATCAGATTCTCTAGAGCTTCAGCAGGTACCTGGAGAAATGGAGCACATTCAACCCAACCCAACCAGGATAGATCCAGACTCTACTCAACACCTGGAGGAAATTGATAATTCCGGAGGAGATAGGTTTGAAGAGATTGAAACCTCGGGAGAAGGTTTAGAGGATAAACCAGAGGATTTGGAGGCTGTGAGAGATGGAGAACTAGATCATCTTGAACCTGTTGCTGTTCTCGAGGTTGAAGCTACGGAGGAGGACAAGGACAAAGATATAGTTGAGGACGGGGTTCAGGGAACTCCGGAGCTAGGACAAGAAACACTTACTCTGACATCTAGCGGAGAACTTATTATGACAGATTTAGGTGAATATCTTATTTTTTTCAATTACAAAAAAAGATAATGCTTTTTATATTCTTTTAAGTTAATTGGTTTGAAACAAAGTTTAAATGCTTCATAACACAAATTCTAATCTAATTATTCTGATAATTTACCATTTTGTTGGTGACATGTGAAGGAGATCAATTGAACAATAAAAGGTTTCCACAAACTCAAAATTTGTGATAATTTTATCTTGAAAATCTGATGCTGTAAACCTTTAGAAACTTTGACTCTTCATGATTCTTAGTTTACAAATACTCAAAAGTCTACGATAACAGGTGCAAAGATATACATATTTGAAAAATTGAGTGTGTGGAAATTGTTCAGTTCTTATAATATTTTCATCTAGGATCTGTGATATGTATTCCTGAACAGGAAGAAGAAGACTGTATGATGGTTTCATCTGTACATTACATGTAGTTTATACCTTAGCTTAAGCTTACATAATGGTTTCATCTTTACATTTCATGTAATTTATGACATAGATTGTACAAATGGTTTCATCTGTACAATACATGGAGTATATATATACACTAGATTTATATGATGGTTTCATCTGATTACATTTAGATTGTACATATTATTTTTAGCTGTACACTTCATGTGAACAAAAACTTGTACATAGTGGTTTTAAATGCACAATATTTTGTACATAATGGTTTCATCTGTACAATAGTTTTTCATAATGATTTCATCTGTACAATACTTAAAGTTTTTGCAGCAGAGTGTACATATTTATTAATGGGATTCCGTGTTTAGTTCATGTTGTGTTAATACAAATTTTGAATCGGTACATAATGATTTCTCAGGTTTTTAAATGGTAATGATAACAAATGTTAAATATGAGATTTTGTATATTTAATATGAAAATATTATATCTTCAAAGCTAGTCATTTTTTAAGTATTTAAAAATATTTTAAATCCCTGGAAGAGATTTTGAAAAACTTTTAACGGCTACCTCTATACTTAATGGCAATACAAATCTGTTTTTTTTCTAAATATTTTATCGGGCCCATTGGATATTACGGCCAAAATAGCACTGGATCTGAATTAGGGAAGCTTAAAGGAAGCCTACTTAACATAAACAAATTCTTGAGTCTATTTTTTGTTTAAATTGTGTTTTTAAAACCCTGCTTTACAGTTTTGAAGAAAAAGAAAGAAAAAATTAATAAAAATTTATGGATATCAAGCTTTTTAACCACTATACATTTCGTGTTTTCAGCATGAGTTAAAAAATGTTCAAATGAGCAAAAAATAGTTCAAATGAGCAAAAAATGTTCAAATGAGCAAAAAAAAAGTTCAAATGAGCCCAAAAAAGTTCAAATGAGCCAAATGATAGCTCAAATGAGCAAAAAACATAGTTCAAATGAGCAAAGGGGGGGGGGCATGAAACGTATTACTCTCCGGAAAAATTAAACAGTGTTTAAACATAACTTAGAGTTGTCGTAGGAGGCTGATTTTTTGCATGCAAGCTCAGGTTTATATATATTACATGCATTTTTTGGTTTTGAAGGAATCTGAACAAAAGTGCGCGCGCGCGCTTTTTGTGAAAAAATGCCACTTTTTTGACAGTAAATCAATGTTAACTTCAATAATTGCACTTGGAACATTTTTCCTGACACACTTGAAACAAATATGCGCTAAAAAAATTCACCTCCAAAGGCTTAAATATCCGCGCGCGCGCGCGCACTGAAAGAAAATATTTGAATACTTATGTGCTACGTTTGGCCTAAGTTAGAATAACAGTTGCATGCGATACATCAAACTATAGCAAAATTGGGACAAGGAATTCATTTCCGAGGTCAAAATAGACATTGGAGCATTCTGACCGGCGCGCTAGTAGCCGGCAGTTACGTTATGGGTCATTTTTCCACATATTTACATGTTGTATGTCGATTTATAGGTTATTGGGCACGAGGTATTTATTTCTGAGGTCAAATTTAATATTGGAGCATTCTGACCGGCGCGCTAGTAGCCAACCATTACATTATGGGTCATCTTGGTACATTTTTACATGTTGTATGTCGATTTATAGGTAATTTGGCACGAGGAATTCATTTCTGAGGTCAAAATAAATATTCGAGCATTCTGACCGGCGCACTAGGAGCCGGCAGTTACATTATGGGTCATCTTCCCACATATTTACATGTTGTATGTCGATTTATAGGTTATTGGGCACAAGGAATTCATTTCTGAGGTCAAATTTATTATTGGATCATTCTGACCGGCGCGCTAGTAGCCAACCATTGCATTATGGGTCATCTTAGCACGTTTTTAACATGTATGTCGATTTATATGTAATTTGGCATGAGGAATTCATTTCTGAGGTCAAAATAAATATTTGAGCATTCTGACCGGCGCGCTAGTAGCCGGCAGTTACATTATGGGTCATCTTCCCACATATTTACATGTTGTATGCCGATTTATAGGTTATTGGGCACGAGGAATTCATTTCTGAGGTCAAATTTAATATTGGAGCATTCTGACCGGCGCGCTAGTAACCAGCAGTTCCATTATGGGTCATCTTCCCACATATTTTGCATGTTGTATGTCGATTTATAGGTTATTTGGCAGAAAGATCCATTTCTTAGTAAAAACTTTTGTAAGACTACTCTGATCTAGCAGCCATCAGTCACCTTCTGGGTCATCCTGTCATATGTTTTGCATTTAGTATGTCGATTCTGGGGTACTAGAAACAACGATTCTCTTTCTTAGGTAAAAAAAATTAAGTTTCAGGACTCTGATCGGCGCGCTGCTGGCCATAGGGTAATTACTAATTATGGTTCAACCTATCATAGTTTTTCATATATATATACAATTACATGTAACAAAAGTTAAAAACATTAATTGTTAACAGTTCTTATTTTATTTGCGTTTTTTGTTTGGTTTACGTCATTTCATTTTCGAGATGTTGTCGCGGGCTAGTTTTCATTAATTTTGTTTGGTAAAAAAAAAATCTGGGTTTCCATGCTATTAATCTAAATATCTGCAATTTACAAGTTGTACCAGCCTCATATATTTAATCTTTTCTTTACATACTTCTAGATTTGACCAATTTGAAGTTGATTTCTGGTATGTCCTGGAATTTGGTAGGATAACCCACATAATAGGTCAGAATGCTATGCTTGTGATTTACTCGACGTAGATGAATTCCTCTGGTCTAATACCTAAACCCTGATATACAACCTGAACAAACATTAGAAAAATGATTCATTTCTAATATCATTCTTCTTCTTACCAATGTTTTTAAAAATTAGTTTTGTCCACAGAAATGGATTGCTCTGATCTAAATACCTATAAAATTACACACAACATGAAAAACTATAATAGGTTGAAACCATGAAACCATATATATATATACATATAATTTTGAAAAATAATTAAAATCGCTTACACAAAAATGATATGAGGGGGCCATGAGCCTCTCAGATTTGCTACAGCAGTACAAATTTTATGATAAAAACTTCAGAAGTTTTTTAAGCGAAAAGGGAGATACAACGAAAGCAAATTCTAAAATGAATTCGATCCAAGAAATTTCCCTTTTTCTTAATTTTTTTGCTGAAAAAAATTAGATATTTCTGAAAAACAATAATTTTGTATTAATTAAGATTTATCTTTAAACATAAACAATTTTACTAAAAAAGGTATCAAAGTGATTTTAAAAAATCAAATCGAATTCACTTTTAATTTGGTTTTCTCAATAAGCACGGTTTGGAACGCTCTTCCCCTTTATTAACAACACCTTCTCCTCTCCTTAAAGTTTAATATCCTTGCAGTCCATCATCATTAACTAGGAGTGTGTGACGTCCCTAACTTTTATCATTCATTTGAACAAAGTATAAATTAGAAAAGTTGAATTAAAGTTGTTTAATATGAAGGGAGTAGAGAGTAGAGACAACTATTAAAGATCCGAAAACACAGATGTCAATTATGTCATTTATTTTCTAGTTTTAAACTATAAGTCACAATAAATGATAATTATTTTTTTTCTTCAAAAAAGTCTTTTTAAAAGTGGCTTTATATATTGTACTGATACATTTTATGGAATGTGCTACCAAAATTCAAAAAGAAACCAGTGAGACCCGTAAAACTATGTAATGTAGACGTAGAATTTAAACAAGCTTATGTGTGTATGAAGTTGTTAAAAATCAAATGGTTTAGTTTAAAAGATCAACTATAAATGAAATGTGTCAGTGTGTACTACTGCACATTGTGGTGCTTCATGTTCGTTTGTTCAAAATCACAATTTGAATTTAACAGTCGTCTTCCTATTCCGTGATTTTATGTCCCACTTTACATAAACATCTTAACATTTTACCCCATTTCAGGAGACCCTCTTTGGACTTTTTCTGGAAACTTTATTATGAAAGTCGAAAAAGGGGATAAACTCTCTTTACAAAGATCTGTTTTCAGGACTTTTCCAGACACAGGACAGAGATTATTAATCTATTCACTTTAGGTATACCGTACTTCCCTGTATCTGAACTAGGGTTTAAAGAGAAGATTTAAATGAATGAAAGTCTGATGTTTCTATGGTTGGAAATTTGCAACCAAGAATTCCATTTCCGGACCGGAAATACAACATGTTGAGACCATAGAGAATAGAATATATATTAGAGAGGAATTTACTAGAAAAAAGTGTAAAACTGCCATTTTGTTGTACTGTTTCCATACTGCAGGTGTACTTCACATATTTATGCTATATAACTTTTTGGGCCCTGGAATATCATTTTACAGAAAATCTAAAATTATTGTTAAAAGAAAACCAAATTTTGAGATAGGCTGGTTTCATAATTGACCAATGATCATTTCACATAGACTCTATGCCTTCCACTTTACAACCGATGATTTTCCGTTATAACTATAAATCAAATGATGTTTTTATTTACCTAATTCATTATAAAGTTTATTTAACAGTTTAAAAAATTCAAAATTGAAATGAATAGTCTAGGTAACATACTGTATTTATGTACTCTACTGCATATAATTTGTGAACATTTACATGATTTGTACACTTTGAACTCCCTTTCAGGCTAAAAGGGACTGAAAAAATTCATACCGAGAGATTCTTTAAATTCCCCTCTAATATGTATTCTATTCTCTATGGTTGAGACACGTGTTCGAGTTAAGAAAAGAAATCCAACAATTCTCACAGAAAACTTGATTCAAGATAAATACTATAGTTAGAGTTCTAGAAGATTTATCCAAACGGTGCCGTTTAAAGAGAGTGACTGGCTAGGTATGGGGGATAAACTGAGAGTGCAGTATTTTAGAGAATATTATTAGGATTTGTGTGATAAAACATTCTTCCATATAATTGCTAAGTAAAAGCGCAAATTCGCGCTATAAAAATTACGGGGATGGTCCGTTCCGGAGGCTTGCTCTCAATGATCGATTTCTTCATTATTTAAAACCAGGACGAAAAACGTTCCTGATTTGTTGCATGGTATCAAATAATTCCTAAATATGTACTCCTTAATACAGGACTCTCAGTTCAACTTCTATCTAATTGTCAGTCACTTCTTTTCCTTCCTTCCTTCCTTTCAGAACAACACTAAGGAGGATATCATAGCTTTTACATTTAAAGAAGTGGTGAATTCTATTTCTGCAAGAAAAAATCCGCAAGTCCCTTTTACAGAGAAACCAAACATGCAAATTTTCCATTCTCACTTATCAGCTAAAAAAATGCTTTAAATGATTGAATGAATTGAATACATAAAAATACAGAATATTTTCCTATCTCAGACCAACTTACCTCGTAAACTACCTTGAAAACCAGTGCTTAGGATCCGGATCCGCAAGATTTTGGCTTCCTGGATCCGGATCCGCAAAAATATGCGAATCCACGGATCCAGATCTAAGGGGTAAAATATCAACCAAAAACTACAAAAAAAAACTTTTTTACTCCTAAAAACCCAAATCCGAAGTTAAAATGTCCTCATTTCTGAATGATTCATCAAGTTTTAGGCTAAATAAGCGAAAAAAATAAAAGAAATAAATTATAAAATTATTTTTTGTTAAAAGAATTCAGGAAATCTTAAAGAAATTACCCGGATCCATTTTTTTCAATGGGGATCCAGGATCCGGATCCGCATCAAATTTAAATGGATCCTAAGCACTGTTGAAAACAGGGCTGCCAACGATCTAGGGTACGACTTTAATTTGAAGAGCCAAAACATTTATAACCTTTTTTCTGGCGCCCATTTAAATTTTAACAGTCAATACTTAAAAAGTAAAATATTAAATCATATTTATTGCCATAAAGAAATATATTCATTCAAGTAGATACATAAATTTTAAATAAATAAGTAATACGTTTATTTACAAGATTTTGATTGGTTCTGAGCAAAGAATATTATTGTATATTTCTAATTGTATAATTGTTCAAATGTACAGCTGTATGTTGTACATGGTGTAAAGTTGTACAGAATAGAAAGGATCGAGGAGAACGAATTATTCATGTATAGATTCCCCGCCGAAGCTCCATTGTAGCGTGAAATAATGTCCCGCATAAAAAATCCTGAATATTTTTTTTTTGCATTATATAAGAATTAAATAAGAAAATGTGCAAGAATAACAGAACAGACCTAACACAATTTTCATTAAATACAGTTGTCATTTACTTTTATCACTTAACAGTTCAATTATTTTATTCTTTTAACATCTTATTATCAGCGTTGGCCTTTCACAGTGTCCAATAAAAGAACGGTAAAAATATTCTTTGTAGATTAAGAGTGTCCAACGAAACATGACAGTTAATAGACAACTTGAATGTCTACTTTGCTCTTTGAGATAATTTGAGGCATACATTGATGTCAGGACAAGAGGAATTTTTTGTTTATTAATTCAATAATTTTGTAGATCATTTCAAAGCTCAAAGATGACCTTTATTAAGTCGTGTCTCACTGGCCTGTTTAGTGGGACACCTAGTGTGCCCATACATGTATTCTCATTGTTGGGTTGAGCGACGAAAACTATAATATTTTATGTTGGGTATGATTATAGAGCAGTTAAAAAGGTTATTAACTGATAATAAATTTGGATCAAAAAGGTATAGGACTACTGGACTAGGTGGATCACATACAACGGGGACACAATTTCACGCTACACCAGAATGTAGAAGGTCCGCGGTACGCATCAGCTGTTCAATTTCAATGCCGCGTGTAATTATAAACTCTAGTGCCTCGTGGATTTCTTCCAGGAGTCCCAAGAGGCATATTCCCTGTACCTGAAAACAACATTATTAGAAAATTATTACTTTAAATGCGTGAGATAAGAAAGGGATTCCCGGCGATATTTCAAGTCTTTCAAGTGACATTCCATTTGTAGACGTGTATCCTTGATTTATAAAGGTACTCTTCAAAATTGTTAAAAATATTCTCGCTTTTTCCTAAAAAAATGAATTTTTATTCATGGTTTCTCTTAAAAGTGACTTGCGGAATAAACTTAATTTACAGAAATTAACATCTTTGAAGATCGAAATACGACGATACCAACCTAATTATCATTAAAATGAAGATTTGATAAAAGGTAGCATTGTGAATCGGATATGCCACTTTAAAAATTACGTCTATGCGATCCCTTTAGTATTGTTTCTTTCTAAACTTGTTATTTTTATTGTAACTTGTTTTATTTTTATTTTGTCCTATGTTTCCCTTTGGGAGCATTAAAAGAAAAGAAATGGAAGAAAAATACAATTTGTTTGCTAGGTAATTTAATTATTTAAGGTTTTCCACAAAGGATTATATTTCAGAGATAAACTTAGCAGATTGTATTAAATCTTTTTTCTGAAAACCAAGATATTTGCCTATATCCCATAGATTAATAACAACACATATAGAACACTAGGTGTAGTCTTTTTAAGGTAGACACCCAAAGGAGTTACGCACATTCTGCGTTGAATTACAAAACAGAGAGAGAGAGAGAGCTGTTCTACGCTTATGCGCGTAACACCTTTGGGTTTCTTCCTCAGGGTTATTGTGAACGAAAATCCCCTAAATCTTGAAAAGACGACATCTAGCCCTTTTTTGCTTCAAAGTCAAACTTCCTTCATTGGATGGTCGAAATAAAGGTTTTGGTTGTCATTAAACAAAGAAGACGATATTGTCGTTTTTATCTGGCAAAGTATTAGAATCTGACATTTCCATCTTATTCTCTGATGCATAAATCCGCATTTATAGAGAAACCATAATGTGAAAGTATCCATTTAAGTTAAGAAAAACAAGATTATTTTATTCAATTCTGTGTCATGACATTTTGTAAAAGGAGGGTTACTTGAATGAAATTACTTCTATAGTCCCCCCCATAAACACAAATGTTGATACTACCCTTTTCAAGCAGGACAGGTTTGAAGTTTATAATCGTATTTAAAGATATTTATTTGACTTTAGATGCAATCCCTCTTTGTTAAATATAAATCTATGTTTAACATCTTGATTCAGGTATCAAGTATCAAACATATCCCGAGTCCCGATGTGGCTATTTGGGTCTGCTCCCCCCCCCCCCCTTATGAATACCTCTCCAAATTTTCAAGGCCAGCTCATTAAGAGAAAAATTAGACCTGTAAGTTTAATACATAGTGCTAGCAGCGCAACTAGCACTTTTATGAGGGGGGGGGGGCGAAATAAGATTTTGATGGGCTGAGGGGGGTTTTCAGAATTTGAATAGAAAACAGCATTTTTAATTCATGCCCTGTGCTTAATAATATACCAAATAAAATATCAACAGCTTTAAAATGTACGACATGAGCAAATTAATTAAACATGTACGCGAAGCGCCAAAGAAAATCTGTTATTTTAGTGTCTTTTCCTTTATTTCTTAGTGTCTGTTAGTCCCTAGCTTAGTCATATTCACTTTGTATATAAAGTCCCCTATTACAGTCTACAGCAGTTTTTTGTAATTCATCCACAAGTCATATTTGTCCACTATTTATATTGTCCCTTAATCGTAGTCCTAAGTAGTAAATAGTTCCTGGCAGTACTTGACTATAAATAGTCCATAATTCATAATATTAAAAGTGCTTCTGATCGAAGTCCCTCTGTCCTTGTTTGCCTGTAAGGGGCTTTCTGTTTTCCTCTTATAGTCTGCAAAAGTTCTAACAGTCCGATATAATCCTTATTATATTTCTTGTTTTTCTTACTATAAAGCAGGTTTTGTGTTACCTTAAATGATATATGTGTATTGTAATATACTCATGAGAAGTAACATAAAAACAGGTTATTTGAGAAGATAAATTAAGAATGACTGCCACTCTATAAGGCGAAGACGAGAAAATAGTTAGAAGCTCTATTTGAAAAGAAAAATTCTGGTATTTTTTTCTTAATTGACCAAATTTGATAAAAGAAAGTCCACAATCATGATCATGCTGAAATGAGGGGGGGGGTGAAATATGCTGAGGGGGGGGGGGGCTCGTAGATGCATCAAAAATAACTTATTGCAAACATTATTACCGACTTTTTGTGTCAATTGCGAAGTTGTCGGGAAAATAATTCTGGACTTTATATGTTCGCTATCGGTTTTTCGGAGACTAAATGTTTGCAGGGAATTAAATATGAAGCTATAACCCCCCCCCCCATATACGCCCTTGCGTACCTTCTTGTTTTGGGTTCGAAATGTGAAAACTATTAAAACAATTAATGAGCAAATTATCCTGTGCAAGTTGCTTTCACTTATTTCTCATTTTTAACAGAATCTTACAAAAATGTTCAAAAAATAATTTATATTTAATTTTGAAATAGATTGTGACTGTGAGTGAGTCTCAGATTGCAAGAAAGCAAAACAAGCAGAATATCGGTGGCACTTAATACCTTGTATTCATTTGCAAAATAACTGGTTTTGGCGTAGGTTGCACAATTAAGGGTCGTTCATGAATTAGAAGCATGTTAGGGTCGTTCATGAATTAGAAGCATGTTGTGGTCGTTCATGAACTAGAAGCATGTTATTTTATGATTTTTTACGCCCCCGCCAGGAATTTTACACAGTTATGGAAAATTTATGGAAAATCCAGTTAATATATACAGATTTAAGAAGAATCCAGTAAATCTACACAATCTTATGAAGAATAAACCACTAACTTATGAGGCCGGAACGACTTTGAAGTTTTGTCAGACCTGAATTATTAGTTTGACCTTTAAATTTAAAATATTTTTTTGTAGTCCTATAAAGCTTCAACATGGTTAATTTCAAGCAGCAGTTTTAAATAATGAAGGAAGAACATCCTGATTAAATTTTTAATTTGACGTTAAGCAGTTCTGTAATCTATTTTCTTCCAAAAGTTTTTATCTGGCATTCTTTTAGACATCACACATATTTTAGAAAATATACGACTGAATGCAGCAAAATGATTGAACACATTGTGTAAGCCAATATCTTCTGTTCGAAACAATATTTCGCATAGTTTAATAAAAGCTAACTTTTCGATCCAGCATTCAATTTTTAATGTTTGTCAAAATTAGTGGAGTCTTGAATGTCAACATGTTTTACATATTTCATCCCCCCCCCCCCTGTAAACCATAGTTTTCCTTTTACCTGGGAAGTTTCCCCCCCGCACCATGGTTTTACCTGGAGTATCCATGTGCTGCTGCGTCTTTGTACTGAACTAGAACATGTTCAGGAATACGCGGCAATATATCCGCTATCTGCGCAATACCTAGAAATATACAATTTATGAATTTTGAACATTATGTTTTTATCTTTATTTTTGATTTGTTTTGTTATAATATTGTACCATTTTACCTTTGTATACGAAATAAATCTATAATAATAGCTTTATTAATACCATTGCAGAGAGAGAGCATTTAACATCTTTGGTACTGTTTTTTTTATTTTCAGATTAAAAAATCAGATTTTTAAGCATTTTATGACCAAATTTTTTTCTTCCGATAAATTCTTTATTCTATGGGAATTGTATTATATGTGCTCCTCTAAAAAGGTTTAAACCTTTAAAAATATTTTTAATTTGTTTGATTCTTTTACATTTGAAATATGGTTCAATACCCAAATTATAAAAAGAAAAAAAAGTAAAACTGTTTCACTTTTGCATATTATAAATGCAAAATCAGTTCTTTCCAAAAAAAAGTATCTAATACTCAAATATATATCAGAATTTTACCAACAATTCCCTTAAAAAGTTTAAAATTTATGGTTTTTTGATTGAATACTGTTACTATAAGTAAAGTTACTAAAACTCAGTTATATATATATATATATATATATATATTTATATATATTTATAAATATATATATCCTATCGGGCAAATATAACAAAAAGTTATGTGAGTTGCAGTGAAGTAAAATTATAGGCCAAGTCTTTGCGACATTTCAAAGTTAATCCAATCTTGAAAATTGATGCAAGTTCTTATAGCAGTCTGGATCTATGTGTAGTACAGTAAGAACCAGAAAACCGTGGAATATGAAAATGACATTAAAGCAATACCTGTATTTGATATTGCTACAAAGCAAATACTAGTAACTTATTAAATAATTATTTAATAAATAAGTTTACACTGCACAACTGCTGTGTTTCTTGTTTATTAGACTATTTAAAGGAACTGTAAGCGTAATTTCAAGTGACCCTCCTTCCTATACGCTAAAGTTTTTGTTTCTACTAAATCTTAATTTTCATTTGCATGTTTTCTACGAAAGTGACTTGCGCATTTCTTGCTTGTAAGAAGCAATGGAGAAACTCGCAGAAAAAAAACACTTAGAGTCAGTAAAACGACGTTATCTTCGACATTTTTGATGAGATTAAGGTATCAAGGGTAACATTATAAATTGGACATTGCTATATATATATATATATAAAATTACGCTTTTAGTCCCTTTTAAGTCAACATTTGTGTGGTTCTCAGTGTACCTATTCTTCTGGCGGGTGATGTTGGTAATTGAGAGGAGAATATCTCATGAATGCTGAATACAACGTAATCAAGATCCTTCTTTACAGACTCCCAAACAGCCTGGAGAAAACAATTCGAATTATTTTACAGAGTCAAACACATTTTCAGAGATAATTGGAAAATGAGAATGTCATCTTTTTCTCAAAAAGCACAATCAAATATAATAAATGGTGGATATTGTATAGTTAATACCTATGTCTAATAGGGGTGGGGGGGGGGATTCACAGAACAAAAACTTTTCAGTGCAAAATGCATGGTTATGATAATACAGTTATGGACATTTATTTTTAAAACTTTGTATGCCGAATACAAACAAATACATTTCCATTAGTGTTTTTTTTTACGATTTCAACATAATTTCTGGCATTAAAAGTAACGTCACGGCCCTGGCCGATGTTTATCAATGTATTTTAGAATCATGTGCGCATTTATCTATGTAATTTTCTACAGTGATGATCTAAATAAGCCAGAATAACATGAATTGATTGATAACTTCAAAGTCATCTTTGACTTTGACCCTTACAGATAATTTACGGCATTCAACATAGGTAACCTGTTTTAGCAATATATTTTTATAACACAAATATCACATAATAGCACTAGTCCTGCCATTTCCAAAATTTGGTCTGCTACTTTTGCGCTTTCATAATTTTCGGAGATTTGAATAATTTCGTTCAGAAGGAGACATTTTAATAATTTTATTTAATAAATTGAAATTTAAACCAAATTTTTAATATCTCTGGTATTTTTGAGAGCAAAAAACTGGCAGACCACATTTTGAAAATCTCAGGATTATTGTTCCCTGAGAAACTAAATTGCTTAAAGGGACTGTAAAGGAAAAATGAAAGGGGGTATAGGCTGAAAGCTAATCACTTTAGCTCTCGATCGCGGCCCATGAAAGTTATATTTGATGTTCCTCTCTCGAGAAATTGATATACAACTGTGTCAAATTTATACGAAAATTAATATATATACAATTTTGTTTAAAAGTAGTGGGTTTAAATAGATCAAATTCAGCAAATAAGCAACCAATCTGAAAACGATGATATCCCGGAGAAAGCTAATTGTAACTTAAGTTTACTCCAATTCTAATTTTATATTTGTTATTTCTATTTTTTATAGATTTTATTCATAATATTATTTATACGTCAGTATTACTTGACCAGAAATTCCACCAATGGTCGTGCAGTGAAGTGGTCACGTGATACAGGCGGAGACACGTGACCAGTATACTGCTCTGCTATTGGTGATAGTTCTGGTCACATGATTTAAGTTTAAGATATTCTAAATTTTACGTACAGGGTGTCCCAAAACACATGGGAATTCAGTGACGAATTCGATATCGTCTTTTTAAATAATTCTTTGATTTAGTGTAGTGATACCAACTGAGAAAGCTTTAATCTGTAAGAGTTTCGTCTGCTATGTTTACATTTTGTTTGTTTATGTTTTGACTGCATACGGCTGTACTTTGTAAAACAAGAAAATTGCACTATACAAACAGAGAAAACTTGTCCGTCTTCACTGTTCATCTTGCAGAGACATTATAGACACATCTTTACAGGCTTTTACCCTTTTCATAAAATAAACTCTAGCAGACATAATAATATAATGGTTTTTGAAATTAGGTATTACAATGCTAATTCATAGCAAAGACGATTTACAATTCGTCACTTAATTCCCATGTTTTTTGGGACACCCTGTATATGAATTTTCGTAGAATTTTAACACAGTTTTACATCAATTACTCGAGATAGGAACATCAAATCAAACTTTCATGGGTCGCGATCAAGAGCTAAAGTGATTAGCTTTCAGCCTATACCCCCTTTCATTTTTCCTTTACAGTCCCTCTAAGTCAAGTTACCTAGATGTTGAATGCCGCAAGCTTTTTTAAGATCAAAGACGACTTTAAAGTTATCAATCAATTCATATTATTCCGGCTTATTTAGAACAACACTGTAGCTTTTAATGTTTCAACATTGCATTTGAGTTCGGATGTCTAACATTTTGTTAATGTTATGGTTTCATAAAAAAATGTTTTAAAAGATAAAGATGGTTAAAAGCCATCTTTCTTTTCAACTTCTTCCATTTTTATTTTATTTATTTAATTTCCTGTATGTAAATACAACTTTATAATGATAATTAATATAAACTGTTGAGAGAAAAAAGAGGAAATATAATTTTTTTAAATTGAATTTTGACCAAAAAAGGCAAACAGCAAGGAAGTTCTTAGAAGATCCAATCTAATACAACCTTCCTTACAAATAACGTGTATATTTTATGTATGTATAATGCATATATTTTAATTCTAATATATTGTATGTTACCTTTACTGCATCTATAATATTTTTAGTTGCTGCAATTGAAACTCCCCTCCTCCCTACTTCTTCACCTATCACCTAGGCATAATTTATTCTTTAAAAAGTATTTGAAAAAAATTTACATTTTACGTTCACACTTTGAATTTTTTTTTGATTTAATGTCTAAAATAAAATGTTTAATTGACACAAAAAAGAGTCTGTTTTTAAAAAGATGAGTTTAAAGCAAAAATGAAAATATTTCCCTCTTGTCCCTAATACTGCATGAAATTATCTGAAACATGAACTGCTTGATTTTACCTTAAACATGTACTGCTTGATTTTACATGGATCATGTACTGTTTGAAATTATCTGAAACATGAACTGCTTGATTTTACCTGGATCATGTACTGCTTGATATTACCTGGATCATGTACTGCTTTATTACCTGGATCATGTACTGCTTGATATTACCTGGATCATGTACTGCTTTATTTTACCCGGATCATGTACTGCTTGATATTACCTGGATCATGTACTGCTTTATTTTACCCGGATCATGTACTGCTTGATTTTACCTTGAACATGTACTGCTTGATTTTACCTTGAACATGTACTGCTTGGTTTTACCTGGAACAAGTACTGCTTGATTTTACTTGGAACATGTACAGCTTGGTTTTACATGGATCATGTACTGTTTGATTTTACCTGGAACATGTACTGCTTGATTTTACCTTTAGCATGTACAGCTTGGTTTTATGGTTTTACTTGGATCATGTACTGCTTGATTATACCTGGAACATGTACTGCTTGTTTTTTAAATGTACGGAGTCCATTTTCTTCAACAATGATAGTCGAGCAGACTCACTTCGCCTCTCCTTAATCAATCAATATGATTTTTTCTGTATTCGTCTCAGTTTTCAAGAGAAAATCTACAAAAATATTTTAAGAAGTGCAGTGTGCACTGAAAGCTGCCAAATGCTTTTAAACGCCCTTTTTAAATTCAGTATCTTTATAAAGTATTAATATCTGTTTGTAAGTAAGTAAGTCATTTTTTATTTATAAATTATGACAACAAAATATACCCAATTAAGTGTTTCGAGGATGAAATCTTTTAAAAACTTTCGAAAATAGGGGCTGTGGGAATATTTCCCCCCATATTCCAAAACAAAGGAGGAAAAGAAAAAGGAAAGTTTTCATTTTCATAGCTCAGAAAGTTGGTAGAAATACAGGTTTCATGAATGTTCTATAGCTTGGCATAAAATTTTTTGATTTAGTGGGTTGACTTTTATAGCCAAGGTAAAAACTGGTTATTCAAGCCATTCACAAATAAAATGATTAAGTTAAACCTGTAATTGAATGAGAATATCCCTTCCTTCTGCTCCCAGCTCAGATACTGGCAATGGAGTCTCCAACTATAAACAGGGGTTTTAATCGTTTTTAAAAAATAGTCTATACAGTATTTTTGTTCTAAAGCAAAAACGAAGCAAAGCAATAATAAAATATTTAAGTTTAAGCAATTAATATTTTTCTACTTTAACACACAAAAATATTATTGCAGAAAATAAAAAAAAATCTATTAGACCTTGGCATTATGTTTTTATTTTTAAAGACCATAATTTATTGTTTGTTCATAAAGGACCCTAAGCAGTATTCTTAATTTTGTATTCACTCTTCTCAAGACTATTACTTTCCAAATATCTTTGTTACACTCTTTAAACTGACAGCTTTGGTTATGATATTTTTCTAGGTATTGATTACTGTTAAAAATTATAATATGTCTTTTATTCCCTTTTATTTCTATTACCTGAACACAGTTTGGATGAACAAAGCAGACGGATAGGAATAGTTCTAACAGTGGATCTTGTTCTGATATAAAGTTCCGGATCACATCAACAATATCCTCAGATCCCAGGTTCTCCTCTTCATTCTCAGCAGAGTTGTTGACAGCAGGGATTTGGGAATTGCTCAATTCATTAAGCGCTGCAATAGCATCATTGATCTCCAGGTAGGAAGCTATCCTTGCCTCTTCATCATAATCATCAAATACGTTCTGAGTCTTGGTTGGAAAAGTGAAAACATCCACGGGAACATAATCAATAATTTCCTCTGTTGATTGATGGTTTTCAAGTTCAGCATGAACGACTTCTTGCTCCCAAGCAGTTTGGATTTCATCAAGGTAATCAGAACTATACTTGCTCAGCTCATTTTCTGATTGAGATTGTTCCGATTCATAGGATTGCTCAACGCTTGGGGTCCAATAGTCTTGAGCCAATGCTGGTGCTGGAGTTCTGCTTTCTGGATAATCATATTCATTAAAGGAACCAGCTTCTTCTGTTGAACTAGGATCCGTGATAATCCCTGAGGGATCAAATCTGCGCTTCTCATTACTGCAGTTGATATCTGCTACTTCACTAAAATATATTTTTTTATCAATTTTAAAATTGATTTTTACGAGGTTTCTGAGTTAAAATATTGCCTGTAAAAGGGGCTAAAAATATCTAAGTATAATAGTTATTAATTTTTACCTTACAAAGATATCTTCATTGACTTCCTTGGCATCTGTTTGTGTTGTCTCACTCATTGAGGAGGCAGTTGTTTCTTTTTCCGTTTCGTTTATGTCCAGGTCTTCCTGAAAGATTTGAAGTTCTGGTGCCTCCCTAGCAACAATTGGGTCAATGGTTGTTTTTTCTGTTTCCTCTTGGAAAATTATTGAAGGCTCAGAACCTGGAATAGGGTCAATTGTAGTTTCTTGGATTTCTGCAATAATTTCACTGATTTCTAGAGAGTTGTTCATATCAGAAGCTTTATGATTTTCGGTTGTCATTTCAGAAGCTTCATGATTTTTGGTCATCATATCAGATGCTTTATGATTTTCAGTTGTCATATCAGAAGCTTTATGATTTTCGGTTGTCATATCAGAGGCTTTAAGATTTTCCATTGTCATATCAGAAGCTTTATGATTTTCCGTTGTCATATCAGAAGCTTCATGATTTTCGGTTGTCATATCAGAAGCTTCATGTTTTTCAGTTGTCAATTCACTTCTGCCATGTGGGTTTGTTGTCATTGCGGAAGTTTCAGTTGTCATTTCATCTATTCTTTGAGAGTTTGTTGTTTCAAAAGACTCTTCAAACTTAGCTGTGTTTAAAGAATCAGTATCTTCTTTAATATCAAGCCTAAAAGTTGTTGACTTGTCAGAACTTATGTTTGTTGTTTCTTCAACTATAGGATAATAAGTTCTTGATTCTTCGGAATTATCAACTTTCTCCTCTTCAATGGAATTAGCAGTTGTTTCTGCAACTTCTGAAGAGAAAGCAGTTGTCTCTAAGGCTTCTTGGAAGATATCTGTTGTCTGTTCAGTTTCATGGTTCTCATCTACTGCTTCTATGGATTCTGTAGAGGTGTTGACTAACTCTTTAGCCATTACTTCAGACAAATCCATATGAGAGGTTTTTATATTAATCATATTCGAGATGTCAAAACTGTTTGTCCTGGATGTTATCTCAACATCCTCATAACTTGCTGTTGTAAAGTTGATTTCTGTTAAATCAGAACCCATCCAAGTTGAAGTTTTCATGTTCAAATTTTCACTTCCGATATTTCGTATTGGTCTTTTCACATCTAATGCATCAAATAGATCTGGATTTACAACCAAGCCATCCCCTTGGATAGCAGCCATAAGAGCAGCCTCAGCCCTCTTCAGGTCTATCTCTGTCCCCTCCTCCTGGGCCTGATGAATAGCTTCTATTGCCGCTACAAGATCATCAGCCATTCCTTCTGTAGAAAACTCAGTTGTTGATTCCTCCAGAGATGTAGAATCAGCTGTTTTGCGCGCGCTTCTTTCCTGCGCTAATGCCGCAAGTAAATCCGGATCTGAAATCAGTTTATCATTTTCAATGGCTACCAGCAGCGCTGCTTCTGCTGTTCTGAACTCTTCCTCTGTGGTTGCACTCCGTACTGCTTCAATAGCGTCAAGAAGCTGACTTCTAGACACAGAGAGTGCTGCTGACTGTTGATCAATGGCAGCTGGTAAACCATATTGTATAAGTACCCCGAGTAGGAACCATTGCCTAATATAAACCGTCATCTTGGATCTAAAATAAGTCCAACAAATCTTAGATTTAGTTTTCATAAATAATAAATTTGAATTCAATGATGCTAGATGTACGAGCATAATACCCAAATGAATATCTTATTGCTTTTTTTTAAATTATAAAAACTTTTTATATTTGTTGAAAAGTGTATTATAATAAATGACTTCAGGAATTTTAAGATTGAAAAAGTTTTGGCATCTGAATGTATATCAAACAGATAGTGATATGACATAGCTTAGTTAGTTTTTAAAAACTTTAAAGGTTTTTGGATTTTTAAGAGGTTCCACAAAAATCTAAGAATTTTTACAAATTGGAAAAATTGTTTATCCTTACTTTTCTTATACATAATATTGACTCTGATCTAAAATATATGCAAAAATCAAACGAACCAAAAACCATTGAGTTAAAAAAAAGAATCGTTTTAATTCATTTTCTTTTTTCCATTATATTTTCCATCTAAATTAAAAATATTAAAAAATTAAATAAAAACTTTTACAGGAGACAGTTTTGAAATGTTGGAAGTTCATAGTTCGTATGCGATGTCTTTTAGAAGTCCAATAACCAAGCTATGTCCTTTAACTACATAAAATATGACCTATAACACTGCAGAATATGAAGACGACTTAAGTTAGTTCAATGAACATGAAACACAAGAATTCTGCAGTACAGTGTACAGTGTACATTGTATAATGTATACACTTAACCATTTCACGTAACAAGTTATTTTCAAGCTACTGATAAACTGTTTGCTTTAGAACTTATAAGCTTGCGTAAATGTCGTCTTCCTATTCCACAGTTTAATGGGTTTCACTTTATTATTATTCAACATTCAAGAGTTTTCGGGAAATAAATATTTCTATTTTTTTTGTTGGGCTCACTGTAAGTGAATAATCTGCTGTCTGTTATCTAAACATTTATCTGAAAAATAATATATTTAAAATATAATAATAATATATATTTATAATAATAATATTATAATATATTTAAAATATAATTATTTCATTTACCTAACTCTTTAATCCTGGGACAAGGTTGATCCCTTCAAGGGTATACAGGGTGTCCCAAATATATTGGACTAGACATGGGGAACCCCGTTTAGCCTGGTGATCTGTAAAAAAAATTTAAACCAAACTGAGAACATATCTGCTGTTTTATCGAGTTCCCCAATCACAATCTTAAGCAAATCGGGTTCTTGAGTTATGATCGGACACACAAACAGAAAATACTATTTTAAACATCATAATATAATATAACAAAGTAATTGAGTCTTGGCCTCAAACTCTTATTTTCTAATTTTAGTTTCTTGAAAAGACTCAATTCTTGGAAATATCTACTGAGTTACTTTATGAATAAGATAGTTTAAAAACTGAATAAACGCATCTACATTAAACATCGTAGTTCATGGAATACGATTTATATTTTTTAATTCAATATGATGTGGGACACCCTGTATGCTAGGTAATGACTAATCAGTATTACAAGTATTACCAGTATTATAGAATTAGATTAGTTCTTAATTCTTTAGTTTAGGATTCTATAAATATGTATTCTGTCTGAACAATATATGATGTATTTCAACCTAATCCAAAGTAAAATTACTTTTCAGTAAAAAATATATTAAATTTTTTTTTTAATTTCTTAAGTTTTAAGTAAATTCTATTTTTATATTGGATGCTAGACAAGTTTCCTTTTATGAAACAAAGCAACATTTTTACTCTGATCAAAGATGAAGATCGTTACCAAAACGATTTTTCAATACGGAAAACGGAAAACGATTCTACAAATCGTTTTGAAAAATCGTTTTGGTGAACATTTTCAATCAGAGCTGAAAACTTTAGAATGAGATATCCTTAATCCCAATTACTTAATCTGAGTATCCAATGGACACACTTTTGATTTTCTTCTTAAACCGTTCTTTCTTGGATATAGTAGAGAATAATCTAAAGCCGGGTTTTCTAAATTAGATAGTCCCTCCCATTTCTGTAAATAGTCTTAAATGCCGCGCAAAATTTCAAATGTATCGGCTTCAGAGTCTGATTGGTTGAATTTTATACACTTTTCAGGATACAGGTACAAGATTAAGTTAGTGGGGTGGGGTGAAGAATTGTGGGGTTGGGTGGAGAGTGTGTGACACCAGTTCTCGTTAGATCACTGAAGTTAAGCACACTTGTCCACAGCCAGTTACTGGATTGATGTCCAGACTGGTGTTCACGGGTTCGATTCCCGTACTCCACACAAACCTGTGGTTTCAAAAACATCTGAAGCCGACATCTGGTTTAGCAGTTATGACCACCTGACGGATGTAGGAGGACAGAGGGGCGGCTGTCAACAACTCTCGCAGCGAAAGGGTGCGTGCTTTCTGCTCAACAAGAAAGAAGCTTCAAGTGGGATTGGTCCAAGTGAATGACGATGAAGAGAGGAATGGTGGACAAGCAGGGAGAGTCTATGGTTGCCAGCTATAGGTACCTGGGGTTATCCAATCCGGGCTTACAGATGTTAGGGAGCAATGAGTGTGATGTTTCCTATCAGTACGGCACCCGGGCCTCATTCCAGTATATCAGAAGGATTCCTGCACTCTATATTCTCAGGCCTAAGAAGAATCTTAGGCAACTGGAATCTTGTCAACCCTCTTCTCAGAATGAATGAAGCGTGGATGGATGAATGTGCTGCCAGATTACAACCCAGACAACACCAAACACCAAAAAATTCCGAGATTTGATCGTAACAACCCGATCATGTCCTGGGGACAAAAAAATCTCTTTTAAAAAGTTAGTCTCAATAATAGGAAAAAGAGAGGATCAATCATTAATCTCGATATACACCATTCTAAAGTTTTCAGCTCAGAGTGAAAATTTTGCTATGTGTAGCAAACTTGTCTGGCATGCAATTTTAAATTAGGATTTACATCTCAGCCATTAAATAGCCTAAAAACTTCGGATGTTTAAAAACAGGCCTCAAAATGATGCCCTTCAGACTCAAAAGCCGATAAATTGTGACCTAATATTTTATCTGGAAATAATATTCTTAATAATGATATACTCTGTGGATGTTTAGAAGGCAAAGTAAAATTTCTTTATATTCTCTGTAAAGTATAGTTGTGAATGATTAATAAATAAAAACTCTAGTTTTCAATTTTCTGTAAAATTTTATTATTCCTTATTCCATAGTCCTTATAAGTCTCACTACCCCCCCTCCCCTGTCCGACCCTTCTTTGATTAAAAGATTAACCGAATGTAATAATAATAGGCCTAGAAACCTGTTTCAAGTATTCAATAATTATATCTTTAGATACACTTGACTCAAGGTGTCTTTATTTAGATTGATATAGAGAATTAGACAGATAAATTTACTATC